CAGCAGGAAGCTGTTTGCGGTATACTTTTTGTGGCATTTATGGTCATCCGAAGTGAAAGAAACATTATAATGCTCGTTTGGAAGAGTCCTGAAGATTTTCCCATGGTTGAGTGGACTCGTCTTTCACCATCCATACGAACCCTCTTGCCTTTCTTGTCCATATAGTCCCCGTCTCCAAACCAGATTCATATTTCCACAACTGAAAAATATGAACAGCTAGACTAGCAATTTTCACACAAGGGTATAGACTTATAAGAAAGTTAGGTTCTATAAGAATCACCTTACTCACCGCCACCTCTTATTCTCATTCTAATGAATGACTGTCTTCTAAGTTGCACTTTTCTTTTTTCCCTGCCTCTCTTGCCTTTTCTTTCTTTAGTGGGACCCAGTTTCTCTTTACTAGATTGCTTTACTTTTCAGTGTCCATTTGTTACAACACAAAATAACGTGATATCGTTTGCAATGTTCCTAAAGCCTTTAGTTGGTGAACCAAAGCCCTTTATCTTACATGCCAGAACTCTGCTGAAATATGACCTATATATACAAAGCTAATTATCCTTGTCATATAAGACAGTGAGGAGATGCTCTAGTTACCTGAAAGGCCAGAATACAAAAGTCATTCACTCAATAAGGCTTTATTTTGAAGCTTCAGTGTACTCATTTGGAGGCTAATGACATTTTTTTAATTCATAGGGTAAACTGTCTTCATTCATCAAAATTCTGACACTTTCTGGCAGATGTCCTTGTAAAGGTTATTGACTTATCCTAATGATGTTGATGTATTAAGAAGTTGGATCAAATGATTATTAAGGTCTTATTTGTCCCAAGACATTTTTGTCTTTAACAATTGATGTTGCCTACTGGTCATTCTATTTGGATACTTCTAGGATAATTGTGCTCAAAATTGTTAAGCAATTATATTTAGAATAACAACTTAATAGGGTTTTAATTCCTACTAACTGCTATGCACTTTGTATCTCTCATGCCACGTGCCGTGTTTGCATAATTTGACAAGGCAGCACAGCCAGGTAGACTTTATTAAATCGGGTTTACAGATGACTAAATTTAAGGTTAATCAAAGTTAGTAAATTTCCCAGGATCATAAAGCTAAGCAATGAAAAAAATTTAGGATCTGGACCTATATGTGTCTATTTCCAAAGATCAGACTCTTGCAAGATATGAAATTAATTCCCATGCATTCTGATGGGGTCTATGTGTGAGCA